AAAAGTTAAGAGATTATTTTTAGAATGGGATGATTTCTAGAAGAAAGTAATTTATTTATTCATTGCAACAACTAAACTATTGACATTCCCGATATGGATTGTGTTTTGATTTGATATAATTTGGTTTCATTGACACAAAATTTTAGTAACAATTTGGCATTATTATTATATTGATATATTTAATTTGTTATAAATTATCAATTTTGAAAGAATTAAATAATAGATAAAGTGGGCAAGCAACAAAGCTTCTTATATTTAGCATATCTTTAAATTCTAATAGTACATTTAAATCATTTAATGCTAGGAATATTTTGCACTTTTGTTGAAAAAATTTACTCTTTTTTTTGACTAAGAAAAGATTCAATTGGATGAATGATAACGTTGTTGAGCTTGATGTGTTCAAAAATCTTAATTTTTATAACTTGATTATTATGGATGAATTATGTCTATAGAGGTTGAAAAATCTAATTTTTTATTATTTGATTGACATATTATTAAAATCTATACTACCTCTTCTGACGACAATGGCAACCATTGAACTAACTTTTTTTGACATAAAAATTATAAAAACAAAACTTCACAACAAGATGCAAGATAATTTTTTATTAATTTAACAATAATTTATATTAAGAAAGAAATTGTTAAAAAATTTATTATTATTTTTATGTCATGAATTGACAAGCAGAATTTAAAAAAATAAAAGTTCATATTGATTTTGATTATATATTTGTAAAATTGATTGTGAACATATGAAAATATTTATGCTATGTTATATATACAACTCTCATTCACACATATATATATATATAAGTGCTTTATATCATGGAGACATTTTATAAGCCATTAATTAAATGCATTTAATTATGAGGATTCAATTGCAAATTTTTAAATTAGAAAGATCAAATTGAAAATAAATATAATTTATAAGAACCAAAAGCATAAATATAATATACTTATGTATGTAAAATTTAAAAAAGATAATTAAATAAAATTGAGTTCCTCCTTCGTTAACGAGCTAGCCGTATAAATTTTGCCAACAACAAAAACAGGTATAGCGAACTAGCACGCACGTCCTTCTATTCATCTCTGTTTCTCTCTTCCTCGCCAAAAAGCTCCCAATCTCCTATGGATTCTTCCGCAGCTCGTAACCACCAACTCCACCGCGCCGGAAAACGCCCTTCTTCTCGCCGGATTCCGTCCTTCTCCTCATCCCCCTCCTCCGCTGCCTCCTCCTCCTCCTCGCTCGATCAATCAATGCATTCTCATGATGACTCCATGCTCGGTCCCGCAACCCCTCTGAGATTAATCTCCCGAATCCCATTCTCTTGGGAACATTTTCCCGGAATCCCCAAGAATCACGTCCCCAAGATCGGATCCTCCCCCTCCCACAAACTCTTGCCGCTGCCTCCTCCAACGACCACTCGTCTTGAAGACCGGAAGAAGAATTCCGTTCAGGGTGGCTTTCAGAGGGATCCTTTCTTTGCTGCTTTGGTTGAATGCTCAAAGTCTAAGAGCGATTACGATCGTCACGAAGAAGCTGCTTCCAGTAGCAGTCTCTGGACCAATAATGTGACCAAGGTTTCGAGGAGTCTTAGTAATCGTTTTGAGTTCATCGGTCTGTTTGCTTCTTGCAAGAGAACCTGTGCCGTTTCTGAATCTCTGGTTCATCTTCCGAGTTCCAGAGGAACGAGAAGTTAAAGAAACACGGACACTGTCCCATATACAGACAATGGACTTTGATATGTACATGTTTTATCTCAAGTGTCGTATTATATTGAGTGTTCGTGTTTCTTTTTTCTTTTTCTTTTTTTCCTCAAGTGTTGGCGGAGCTTTGTGTAGAAGAAATAATAATGGACACGATAGCCACCGATTCCCATAAGCTTTCTGATCTCGGAGATTCCTGGCTCGCTGAAATGTGCTGGCGTTCTTGTCGGCATTAAGAAAAATAGAGGTATTTCATTTTTTATCTGTTTTTTTAGTTTCTGATATTTGTGAAGACAAACCGGTGTTTGGAAACCCGAGTTATTGCATTACTTTAGTACAAACAGGGAGTAGAGACAATGCTTACTTAAATCAATTTGATCCTATGTTCATAAAAAACTAAATATAATGGTTTTGGCATTATTTGACATTTAAATGTGCCCTATACAATACATGGATGTTCTGGATTTCATGTGATGACGGCCATATTATGAGTGAAATTTACATTACTCCATGTGGGGATTATAATCGTGCGCTGGACCACTGTGGAAAGAGTGCGAAATTATTTGACTTTGGTATATATCCATAGGTGAATGTGATTTCTTAATTCTTAATTAGGGTTTCAAAAAAAAAAACATTTTTACAATCAGGGCTTGATTTGATGTGGTCTATTTCTTTGCAAGCGTACATGTTGTTGTTAGTTAATTGTGTTGGGTCCTTTCCGGTACTAGTATGACATAAGGCTAAATTGTGTAATGAAAAATAATATTAAAAATATTTTTTCCATGTCATATGTCAGCATATTGCATTAATCTATCATGACAAACTTTGTTAACAGCATAAAAACAGAGTTAATTAATGGTGGGAGCTTTGAAAAATAAAATTAAAAGTTGGAGGGATCAATTTTAAATATTTAGAAGTGAGGAAGCACCGGTCATCTGCAGCGTAACTGCCTTAATGTCTAATGAGATTTTGGTCCAGGTAAAAGTGTATATATATTTGCTTTAAAAATCATGGCAATTATTTTGGTTTATATTGCATTTTCAATTGATAATTAATTAATAGGCATAGGGCCGTGCAATAATATAATAGTGAATGCATAGGAAGCATCCAACTCTATATGATAATTGAGATTTCGACTGCGCAGGGCTCAAGTTATGGTGAATGGGTCCGTCTGTATCGACAATATGGCACAAGAGTACTCTTTTATTCAGATTCCTCTGCCTTCATTACAATTTATTATCAAGAGGGATTATTTTAAAAAATAAGATTACCGTGATCCAAGTCATTTAAATATAAGAGTTCTGTTGACTGTTCTATAATCTATATATTAATATCATTTACGGAGCACTGGCTAGATGCATGGCTTCTTTGCCTGCTACGTGCGTTCGTGTGTGTTTGGTTTTGATTTAGTCTGAATATATCACCAATTTAGTTTTTTGGCCAGGACGATAACAATATTTGAAATATATATTAAAAGTAAAGTCACTAACAAAAAATATTTTTCACTTGTCGAAATGGCAATCTCTTTAGTTAGGAGGATTTGCATTAAGTAGGATATATTATGTTTAATATAATGCCTATCTCGATAGTTCAAAGTTAAAAGGTTTAGAATAAGAACAGAAAATAGATCCGTTGTGAATAATTTCAATTCATCCAACCCACAGGTCACCAACAAATGAAAAAAAGCATATATGAAAACAGAAGACGATGAAGCGTGGTGGATGATGGCTATATTAATATTAGCATTCACGACCTGAGGACCATACATTGAAGGATAGCTCGAAATTCTAACACCAACGCCCTGGAAAATAAGCTCATTATCATCATACTGATCACATGTAATCTTTTTATCTGTGCTCACCCTCTACAAATTTATTTAATCTTATGATTTCAAGATATGCTTGCAATCCATGTTTATGAAAACTGAAAACCACTATCTCATGAATACAGCTAATAGCAATTAACTCATGCGTTCAATCTTTTCATCATATTCAATGTTAGCTCCTTTCTCTACAAACCCATTTATATTTGATGTTACATTATTTATTTTACACCATAAGCATTCGATGCAAGCTAAGTGGATTACAGATATCACAAATTAAATACTGACGGTGCAACTAAATCAGTCATTTTCTTGTCCTATATTGTTCTTCCGCTCCTTCATATAAAAAAGCCGACAAATATTAAATTTACAATACATGCTAAAAATCAAGCATCACCGCAGAATGCTTATTCATGCACACACCTTATTCTCTTCAAAGTATATATAACATCACTTTTCAAATTTGGGACATCTATTTAATTCAAACTCTCGAATAATTACTCTGATTAAACTTTCTTCAATTAAATCTCTCTGTAATCAACATAATGCAGGTCACGCACAGTCACACTCCTAGATATATTAATTTAATTTAAGTGTATTATGGTATCTTTTTTTTTTTTTTTTAAGATGGGAAGTATCTCGAATGCATTATGTCAATTTCATAATGACATTAAATAAATAAAAATATATTTGGTCCGAGCTTGGGCCCAGTATTGTTGAAATATATTTGGGACGGCCATATCTTAAGAGCATCTAGAGTCCAGCTAGACAATCTGTAACTGCAAGGCAGAGATTTATTTAAAATGAGTCATTTTCTCGCTTTATAGATTCTGAAGGTGGCGGATAAGGTAATCCAGTTTTTGCATCACGCTCACAAGCTGGACACGAGGATCTCCATAGAGGTGGAATGAAACACTGCCAACAATTCATCAGAGAAAGCCACATTGAAAAATGCATATAATGCAGTGGAAAATGAGAAAGTAACTGCATCAAAAGGAATGCTTTTAAAAATTTTGGATGCTTATTAAATAAATGCGATAGTTTAGAAAATGCATGGGGATAAGAAAATGCCCATTCATGGCATAATTCCATCTCAAGATAACCTGCCGATGACCATCCTTTACTTGCCGGCCGGGCTATAATATCAATCAACAAATTCTAACTAGACGTGAAGCCGCAAGGAACTTGTCAGGGATAATTTGGTCCTCTCACACGTAGGAAAATATTTCCTGCAGGAAGGATTTGTCTTCCCCCGGTCAAAGGGGAGGGGAAGTCAATGAAGCGGAATTCGAGAGAAGGTATTTTGATAATCACGTGACTATGTGAAGGATTAATTTTAATTTGTAATAATTGCTTGCCTAATGCACTGACATAATTACTCCTGGACTAGTCAGACAAGTAACAAGTAAGACTTGTATTGTAAAACGTCATGCCATCAACATATAAGCAAACGAACCCAAAAAAATGGGAAGAAAAAAAAAAAAACATAGCTTCCATATAAACAAATAATAACCGAGATTTGAGGATGGATCCCTAGCAGAAAACATGGTGCAGTCATTAGATGTTTTCAATGAAATTGTGATCGCATTGTCACTAAACGAGCTATAGTCATTATAACTTGCGATCTGCAGTTGAAGGGCTTAAAACTGTTATCCATCATCCAGGTCTCATAAATGTCCGCCATTGAGGGAAGAGCAGCCTCTGAACATATCACAATATTGTACAAGTAAAGCCACATTGAGGCTATGAAGGAACTAATAGAAGTAGGCACATCAAAATGGAGATATTCAGCGCCACCCTAAAAGGAAACTTAAAACCTCTCCGTAGTTACTAGGCTCCCCAATAGGCATGTTGATTCCAGAGCCAGAAGCTATGCTGCGAAATGTCCCTGGTCAGTTTTAAGTAGGCTGCCAATGTGTTAATTTAATCTTGCTTGTCTCCAGGTTTATACTCTTTGCTTTGACCCTCCATGACAGAGCTTCTAGCATGATCACCCCGGTCTTGATTTGGCACTCTCTCATAATCATCGTCTCCTTTGTACAAGGTCTGAATAAGCATCAATACAGCCACCACAAACACAAAAATGTAAACCACTCTGATGTCGAATGATCTATGGATTACTTTTAGCAGTGAAGGGCCACTAGTTCTTTTCTGTAATGTTTTGCCTTCTCTGTACCCTTCTATTAATTTAGTTATTTGGGTCGACTGATCCTCCCCATCTATGCTTTCAGACCCAACAACCTGAAAATCATTAAAACAAAAACAATTGGTTATGGAAATTTGAGTGAAAAAAGTAAGCATCAAACATATGATTTAAGTTAATATGCTTGTTTATAGCAAGCGAAGTTTTAAGTAGTGCGAACAGCAGGATGGAAATCAAATACTCCTCATGCATTAATCAAGTGAAAGGTAAAACAGGATATTTGAAAGTTTCGCATGAAAGAAGGACTTGTTGAACATTTATGATGAACAAGGGCATTTTAATCCTGTCTGCAGTATATGTTTGATGTGATATTGAAGAATCATCATTATTCGAAGTGATTAGGTCATAGCACAGATATGTACGCTAAATTGAATAGAAGCATCAGACTATAACAGGGGAAATAGACGCTGTTGACCTTTAAGGCCGTCACATTTCCAATTAGATACTGCAATAAAATCAATGACAAGGCACGAAGAAGAGTAAAGAAGATTGAATGCCAACAATTTGCACCAAATTTTAAACAATTCACTTGATCCTAATAGTTTGTGACTTAATGACCATTATGTACACCAATATCATGAAACTGTAAGAAGATTGGTGAACTACTCATACTAAGGCATCTCAAGTCTCGCATAGCCCTCTGAAAATGTTGACCTATGTATATTCATAAATTTTGAAATGTTGTATTATACTCAATACATGTATATGCTAATTGATAAGACACTAAAAATGTAAACTCGAGATTATACATGATATGGAAAATGGAAATCAGGTATCACTTAGAGAGCAATATGTAGAATAAGAAAAATAATTCCTTGTAAGGTAGAATGCGGAGACTTACAGCAAGGTAATCATCACTTCCATCCCAAATGACCATCTTTGGTAGTTTAGTGCTGGTGTCAAATTTTTCTGCAAATTCCTCCAACTGTGCAGCCCCAACATAACTAAATATTAAGTCACGGTTTGCAGATGCAGCAGCCTTCAATAACTTAATCAGTTCCTTTGTTTTTTCTTCGTTTTCATCCTCCACAATTGTTAGAACAATTTTTCTCCCATCAGCACTCATCAACTTCAGTGTGTCATGGGATACAGGAACAGCTAAAGGGATCAGGTTTTGTTTAACAAAATCTTCCAGAAATTCCTCTGCCATTTAAAATGAGAGCATGACAAACCAAAAACCATGTCATGATGCATCCACGTTGAAGCATAAATAGCGGTTAATAATGATGAATAAAGCATTATGATGTGACGGAAGAACTCACATTCCACAGACACGATTTTGTATGCATGTGTGTGGGTGTGGGTGTATTGTTGACATTGAACTCACATCATGTTAAGAAGAAAAATGTGCCATCAATAATGTACTAAAGTTCTTCACCTACCTAAATTGTTACCTGCAATAAAAGCTGCATTTCAGACCAACTAATTATGCATCATTTTAACTCCAGTCATTATTCATATGCTACTCGTATGATATCTGATGATAGAAACAGCAAGGGAAAATACAAAAGCCTCTATACACCATACAAGCTGTAAATTTAACTGACCAACAGGTCTCTGCCCATCATATATATTCACCAAAATGCACCTCCTACACGAGCAATTGGAGCTTAAAAAGACCTTTTCTAAATTAGCATCATAAATGGATTGACCATCATGTCATCATCAAAGTAGCGATGCAGGCACATAATCCAGGAAGTGTTAAACCCAAGGCAAATAGCAAGAGATGTGTAAGTACAGGGAAACGATATTTACAAAGTACTAACCAGTATAAGATAAATGCAAATTATCCGTGATTATTCAACTGCAAACTATCAATAATCATTTAAGTGCAAACTAACCTTCAAATGGACCATAAAAAGTGCTCCGCTCATTGTAACTTGGGTTAATGGAAACCAAAGCAGGTACCTTATCAAAATCATATAATACCATAACATCCTCTGAAAAATCTTTAGCTACAGAAAACCATGCATTTTTCTTATATTTTTGGGCTAACTTTTCAATCATTGAATCGTTCAACCCAAAACCAATATATATGGGGAAAAAAGTTCCAGCTGCTTCAACAAAGTCACTGATAGCAGAATCTGAATCAAGGATGGAAACATCAGAAGAAGCAAACTTCTTCAGGTAACGAACAAGTAAATCTGCTTGCCTTGGTCCACGATATTCAGTGGGGATACCATTATTGAACAACATAAGAGTAGGATATGCCCTACATCACAGAAGAAATTTTCTACATCAGTTCATGACTTCATTCCCAGTAAAAAGCATTTATACAATTAATACATCAGACTTTTCGGACCGACTGCTATCCTGTCACGCTTATATTTTAGTCTAGTGCTATCAACTCATAAGGTAAGGAAAACCGGGAGGAAAAAAAAAAAAATCAGAATTGTTAAAATAAAGATTATCTTATCAAAATAAATAAATAAAGATTATCTCAACAAGCAATAAAAAGGGACGGAATAACATACTCAACGTCATATTTTTTTGCAAGGCTGGTAAACTTGTCTGCATTTACTTTTGCAATGATAATGGGTTCCTTCAAGGCAGCAAGTACAGGGGCAGCTGCATCTAACTGCAAGGCAACTAATCAGATCTTTTATTTGTCTCAATTAAAATGAAACATAAAAAATAACTAAGTTAAAGTACCTAACTAAGTAGAATCAAACACGAATAGCTATGTTATATTATAAATCTGTTGCCGCCTGCCCTAACCTCTTAGGATGTTCAAACTCAATAGATGTAAGCATTGCTATAATAAATAACACCAATACTAGTTTACAACTCTCTCTTGTGTAGGCAATACACAAACAGAACAGAGGTGTGGCAGGGTAGTTTCCTTTGCTAGATCGCCCTACAATGTCTGAACTTGGATCGGAGTTGAATTTGAATTTGGTAATTCTAAGCTAGTGGAGATCAAAATCAAAACTTTTTCATTCCTCGCAAAACCATGGGTAACCCCTTGAAAGGTTGAATACTATTACTATCTAAGCTTAAGAGCTGGCCAAAGCTGTCATCTAGAACGAATCAGAGGACATAAGAAGCGCGTACCTCGGGAGAGAGACGCTTGCAGTGACCGCACCAGGGAGCGTAGAAGTCAACGAAGACAAGATCGAAAGTCGATATGACGGAGTCGAAGTTGGATTCATCCAATTCCAACACCGTGCCATCCACCGAGAATAGCTCAGCGGAAGAAAGCGACGAGAAATTTAAGAGCACAGAATGAACAAAAAGAAAAACAAATACCACCAAACGCTTCATCCTCGATCCAATCAACAATAACAAGGCCACTCTCAACGTTCCTTTTCCGGTCGACTCGCCTTTGCTTCTTGGTTTTCATTTGACAGTCCCACTATATCAGTTTTGTTATTTTTTCTTTTTTAAAATGAATCAAATACTTTGCTAAAAAAAAAAAAAAAAGAATCAAATACAAACACATGTACAGCATCGAAGTTAAAAAAATGAATCAGATACATTTACTCCCCACACAGAGAAGGGTAATCCTCATTCCCCCCCAAAAAAAAAAAAGTAAAAAAAAAAAAATTGGTAATCGGCATATCAGTTTCGCCATTGCTCGTTCAGAGCTGGTGAGTGTTCCGGCATGGAAGTTAAAATTCATCGATTTTTTTATTTGGCGTCTAATTATTGTTGATTTTATCAATTTTAAAAAAATATTTCCAACAATATTTATTTTTAAATAATAAATACACTATCACCAATAAATAAACAATATCATCAATAATATTTATTTTTAAATAATAAATATCCATTCATCCTCCAAAAATAAAAAATAAACTATCACGGACACTTATATAATATTTTGTTCAATATATAGATACTGTTGGAAAATTTTTGACCAGCTATACTGTTGGAAAAATGGTAAAAACGAGATATATCTATATATATATATATATATTCCTTCCATCCAAAAATATAAAATATTTTTTGAGGAGTTAAATGTTCAAAAATATAAAACATTTTTAATCTTTTGAAATATAATGATTGCTTTTTTTAAAAAATGTCCTTATTAATAAATGATTTTATATTTATTATTGGGTGTTTAATAGGGATAGATATGAAAAAATAAAGTTAGTTTAAAAGTAGTCAACTACTTTATTAGAAGGTGAAATTCGATTAAAAATACTTTATATTTTTTTACAGAGAGAGTATATATATAAACTTAAGCGATTTAAGGTTTGAATGTTGGCAAAAATAATAATAATAATAATCGCTAGAGCGCAAAACATTATCACTTTCGCTTTATAACATTGCATGTGTATGATGCACACTTAATGCAGGTCCCTTTGATAAAATGGGTGACATTTTTATTCATTTTCTTCCGTAACTCAATTTAATATATTTAAATTACTGAAATTATTTTAATATGCTGTTGGAAATGTAGTCACACAGCCGCATTGTCTATGCAAATTTCAGGTCCCGTGGCCAAACAGGAAAGCACCACTTTGCGAGTCGCGTCCCATGAATTTGCTGCAGCTTGTCTGATTGCGTGGGTGCGAAATACATTGTTCTTGACCACGGTGATTGGCTCCTCAGTTTTGACAAACTGATTTATAAAGTTGTATTTGGAATTAGACCATATTGCGATTTACTAGTTTTTCCACTCCGCTGCCTAATTCCATCCGATTTCAAGACACCGAAGAAAAAGGCATTAGAATAGGAATGAATTCAGCCCACGCATCTCACAATATTTACTATCAGCTCGGTCAAAAGGAGGCGGAAAAACCTGTCGTATTTACTATCATCAAAGAATTGTCAAATGCATCTCACAATATTCCCCATGCGTCAAAAATGATATATTAACAATGAACTAGTGTAATCTGGCTTCACCAGCGGATTCATCCTCAATCATAACCATCAATTTCTTGGTTCCCTCGGGAAAACAATCCGTTTCTTATATATAGATCACACGGCCTGTATGATCCATCGTTAATCTGTCTATCACCATCAAGCAGTCCTACATGTCCAGCAAAAAATAATACTCCTAGGTTCTAGCATTTCTTCCACCTTTTCTGCTAATAGCCTCACATAGCCGGCATGGAAGTGTGTCAAGACTCGCCGCTCGAGTTCTTCCATAGTTACCCAATACACCACACCTTCTCCATGCATGGTATTCGGCATATGCTACTGGGTCATTAGCTAGGGTCTTCACATACGAAGCTAGTTCTTCCAGGGAGTTGAACTTTCTGCCATCGATTATAGAATGCGGAGGGACAAAATCCATAACATTTGGCGCCCCAAAATATATCGGAACCGCACCAGAGTCCAAGGCATAAAATAACTTCTCTGTCACGTAACTTTCAGTCCACGTATTCTCAATTGCAAGAACAAACTTGTAGTAAGACATGGCACAATGTAAGTGGTCCCACCAATTGGGGGTAACACTAGCATCATTGGCACACTTGGGATAAAAGGATAAAGCCATGTCTGGACCACCAACATTATTAAGGCATTTGCCAAATGAATGGTGTGGCAGCAAGCTAAGTAGTTTCTTGGCAAGTTCATTCCTTTGAGAAAGACACCGGGATGAAGACCAATAAACAAGCGTATCCTACAAATCACAAATAAGATTTAGGTACTATGAGCCCAAATTTTTCTTTCATTCCATCATCCTAATATATTTAATGGCAAACCACTTACATTGTTTTTGTAAGGAGAGATATGATAGTTTCGGCCGTTGTGAAACAGAGCACCAGCATAGGTTGACTGTACATCATCTTCAGCATGATAACTAATAAATATATCTTCCCGGCCAGATCGCCTTCTGCCAGCTTCAAGATCCATGTATACGCGAAGTGGTTGTCCCATTCGCCTCTGAAATCAAAACAATAAAGACATGAAATAAACTGAACCAAAAATAGAATTTCAAATAGTAGGCAAACACACAAATAGCAAAAAACACTGAACTATTTTTAAGTTAGTTGATTGCATTGTGCAAGACCACCGTAAAATGAGTATTATTTAAGAAAATAAGAGATTATGTTTGAGTGTACTTCTCAAATTATAAGAGAATATAAAGTTTTACACCTTACAGATATAATCCAATCAAAGAAGAAAGGTAAAGTTAAAAATTTAGAATATAGGGTATGATACAAAAGAAAAGGGGTTCAATTTTCATTTGGAGAGAGAAAAGCATCCCACTTCGAAATGGCATTCCAAATCTTGGTCAGAAAATATGCCAGAAAAGGAACCTTGCAACTTCTATGCCTGCCTAAGTTAGCAATCAAGATAAGCAAAATAAACATTAATCGATAAAATTCAAAGTCTGTCCTCTTGATGTTGAATTATAGTAAAGAAACTCTATGCTCAAAGTCAGAGCAGAAAGATCTTGAAACTCATTTATAAATTGAGAACAAGGCAACATCAATTTAACAACAACAGCAACAAAATGTTTTATCCTACTAAGTAGGGCCATGTATATAGATTGCACATTATTGTACTTATTCCCAACTAACTCTTCTAATATATCACTCAACAAACAAATGCTCAACAAATTGTATGCTTAACAGCTATAAACCATAGAATTCATATAAAGGAGAACAAAATTCCTACAGCACAACAGTTACATTGGGCTAACATTTCAAGATTCAAGAGTGTACCAACTTCTCCAAGGCTTCAATTGTAAGTTTCTAACAAATACCAAATGATTTTCTAGTATTTCCCTTGAATTCAAAACTTGTAAGGCTAATAATCACTTCAATTAACATTGAGATACTCAATTTCAGTGTTGTGTGCAGTAAGCATGTAATTTATGACCACAATATCAACATCTCAAACAAAGTCATGTCTAGACACTTGAGCCATATAAGGAAGTGCAGGTGTGACTTAGCCATGAGTACTTTGTGCCCCTTAAGTTTGGGGGCTAGTTTCACTTTCATCCTAAATGTTTTATTTTTGTCAATTCGTCCTGCATGTTTGTGAAAATTCTTGATGTCTTCCTAATTCCTAATGCCGCCCAAATGGTTATTAGAACTAGTTGACCTGTTGAACATGTGATAATTAGAGGATGCAAACGTAGATATTACACACCATGCCAAGTATATCATCATATAGCCTATAAGGAGGAAGAGAAAAGATAAGGATACAAATTAAGATGACACTGTTTTGGGATCATATATTAGGCCAGTTGAATATGTTTGCAACCTCTACTAGCTACACGTTAGACAGTAAACTAATCCTAATAAAAATTTGGATGCGAGAAGCAATTAAGAAGATATCAAAAATTTATGCAAACATTTGGGGAGATGATAATTAAAACAATATCTGGGATGAAAGTGAAACAGCCTCAAAAAGAAAATGTTTCTTTTGCCTATAGCTTATAAATAGGTTTCACGCTGCAATGTCCAGTGTTCTGAATAATGCTTCTCCAGAATTAGTTACCATAAGGGCAACACAGTTGCAGCTGATGCTAAAAATGGGAGGCTCAGATATCTACGGGACACATGGAGGAATTTGACACGAGGAAGCATAATAGAATGAGAGGGCCCACTTGGAAATTAAGGAATTACTGAAGGGCAAATGGAAAAGGACAGGAGCATGGATTATGTCAATTCTCTCTCTTTGCCAGGCGTTCTTCTTCATTGATCTTCCCACTTCCATTTTTCTTCTGTATCTTTGTGCTTAATTCCTCATTGTACTCAATTTGAAATTTTGAACTTCTAGTAGACTGGAATTTGGGTTTTCTCCCCCTTGTTACAGAAACAGATTAAGAGGGGAACTATCAGTTGCTGTTTGTAATTCATAATTGTTAGCTACCCTTTCACACACGTTCTGTAGTATACATGTCCATGTTTCAGGGCAGGAATTACGTCTTGTGAAATACAAATAATTTAAGAAACATCTAAAGGAAAAAAGCTTCGTTATTATAGATTTCCCCCTCAACTTGACCGCTTATAGAATAAAATCGCATGCATAAAGTTCGACAAGTTATAAAGGATACGGATACTAGGCAAAGTCAAGGCTATGAATCATGTTCTCATTAATGACCGGAAATATCACCCTGATTAATACCCTTATCCTTCTCCAGCATATAAGATTCAATTTTTTTAGACAAGGAAACTCTTCAAATCTACGGCACCCACCATCATTACCAAAACTGTGAAGACGACTAGCAACGCCAATTTCAGCAGAATTAATCAAAGGAATGAACCATTTTCGATCGGAGACTTACCCGTAGTGGAGGCGTGGTAGTTTCAAACAATAAGGCATCAGGCTTGTCCGCTAAAACAGAAGATTTAGTCCATAAACAGCTCAACTCACATCGGCAAGAGTACAAATTATCTAAATTATCGGGAATCCAAGTCCAGCCTTTGACCAAAACGCTAACATGGCTCGATTTCAAGCTTCCACATTCCGATTCACCGCCAATCTGTTGCAAAGAAGAAGCCCTTGATGTGTTTAGCAGGTTAAGATCACCGTGTTTCTGCCTGAACCGGGGACAACCCACCTGAGAGTCCCATTTCCTGAAGGCACCCACCAGGTCGGTGAACGGTTCTGATGCGGATGTGATGGAATCGCGGATGGGTTGGACGGAAGAAGATGCGGAAGGAAGCTCAAGGACACCGGAGAAGAAAAGGATGAGGAAACTGAAACTAATCATGGCAGCGATGGTGACGGAGTTAACGGGCTTGGGTGACATGGTTGACTCTTGAGAGAGAGAGAGGATTGTGAAGGATGTTCAGAGAAATGGAGGGTGCATGAGATAGAAAATGGAGTCCAAGGCGACTTCTCCTTCCTACTTCCATTCCTTTCAATTTCAAGTTTGGTGGTAGATATGTCTCTTCAGTCCTTAGGGGCTGTTTGGACGGTAGGAGTGGCAGGAGCAGATTTCAAAGGCTATTCATCGGATGCAATTTTATGCCATCCATGGTAACAATAGTTTTTATTCATTTTGTAATATATTCAAAAATTTATGAAAGTTTGACCTAAATTTATTAAAATCAAGGGAAATCTCATGACTTAAATGAGAGATATTTAAATAAATTAGATACACTATATTATTTATAATTTATTTAATTAAAATATTTAATTTAAATATTTTAAATAAAGTTTTGTATAATATTTTTTAATTAATTTTATTTTTATAATAAAATACATATTTAATTTCTTAATTTTTTTTCTCTATTATCATTAATATTAAAATTAATTTATATTTAATAATATTTAAATATTATATTTTTATTAGATAGAAAATAAATGATATAATGCACTCAATTTGTCTAAATATTTTTTTGACTTGAATAATACTTTAAAATATTTTTAAATTATCATCACCCAAGTCCCAGTAAAGATACACGCTAAATACACTATCATAATTCATCACAACTTGCATGAGAATTGTCTGTTACTAGTGGATACTACTTTATCCAATTTTATTTATAAGATAAAAAAAAATATTTCACGCCAATTAGATTAAAAACTTTATTAAATTTTTTGATTACCATTTCAGCACGGCAGCCGAACTTATGAACATTCTTGAAGGACTCAATATTTGTTAGGTAGAGAAGTTTAATAGAGTCAATATTTACTCAGATTCTACTGAAGTAATTACGCTCATACGCAATGAGTTTTCTAATACTCATCCACTTGCTACAACTATTAATAAAATCAGAGATCTTCTTATATATAATTGGTCAGTCACTTTTGATTACATTTTCAAAAAGGCTAACAAATACGCAGATTGGATAACCTATCAAGCCTTTCCCAACAACTTAACTTTTTAGATTTTTGATAGTTTAACTTCTAATTGTAGTAACCTTTTGTACGCTAATATGACTTAATATGTTCATCTACATGGTTTTTCTATGGCCTTCTATTCAAAAAAGAAAAGAAAGAAAATATTTTTTATCATCTTTATAAGTTATGTTAGTAATTAAATTTTTATCACAATTTTTTTATTTTATCCATAATTAAATGTTGGAAAGAAGAATTCATTTATGGAATTAAATATGCATATTTTAATAGGAACAAGATTAAAAACTTATTAAATTTTAATAAAATATGTTAAAATAGAATTGTAAACAATACTATTTATTGGTAGTAATTGCAAACTTCTCATTTATAGATCCAGAATGTTTCTTTCTTTCTTTCTCTTTTCAATGAAGTTCTTGGGCCTGAATGTCACATCCCTGGCGTGCACGCGTAAGTGTACTCTTTAAGAAAAACACGAAAATAATACAAACCTAGCCGCCGCCGCCCCCCCCCCCCCCCAAAAACCGAAGAAAAAAAATGAAAAATAAAACGAAAAAGAAACAAAGAAGAAGGAATTGGATAATTTTCTAATGCTATTTTGCCCTGAGATCACTTGGAATAATTAAGTAGCCTAACTTTATTAAAAAAAAAATCCTAGAATTAACCTTTTGTTTCTGGTCCCTGCGTTTTCCACTAGCAAAGTTCCAAGCGTCCACTAATCAAGATATACAAATGTCTCCACATCAATCAGGCATCGTCAAGTTCCTTTGACCTTTGGCCAAACCAGTTGTGTTGAGAACCGGTTATAGCAATGAATTAACCACTAATTAATTGGACACTAATGTCATTCCGTTTGTTATAACAATATTGTGGCTTCCCTTAGCCACTATGTTTCTAATCAATATTGATATACCAGTGATACATTCAGTCCAATATAATTATCAATTTCTCTAAATATTTGATACCAAGTCTTGTGCACGGATGGACAGAAACATGTGGCAGGCTTTATTTTAATTGGTTTTGGTCAGATCGGCTTGGGTTGGTTCAGTCCAGAAGGTCTGGTTCGGTTTCTAAACATTCCTTGGCTGCTCAAATTTGGTAAAGGTTATGGCTTCCTTATAGCGTGGCTGATAACTTATTGTCATATTAGGATCTGCAGGCTTTTCTCTTAATTTTTTGGCTCATCATTATGTTTATTTTTTGCTGTTAACATATTGCTGCTGTGACATCAAACCTCAACCAGTCGTCCAGTAGATGTCCATTATAAAGCCTTTGCTAAAGAAGAAAACATCGGGCCTTTAATTTGTTAAAATATTGTTATTGTTGTGGATTTGGTTTTTATTAAAAACTTAATTACCCAATGGTTGCTCTTGTATCAAAACACTGGATGCACCTTTGTGATATAATTTTGGAATCACACTACTCTGTTACAATAAATTTGTATTCCATACAAGTCTAAGATTGTCACTTGACAATGATTTTGCAGCAAATCAATTTAATGTACGAAAAAAAATCAATTACTAACATTGACATGGCATAAAGCTTAAGCATACATAACATTATATTGGTTTCTGGACCCTTGACCTGGTGTAAAACTATGTGTTAGAGGAGACAGGAAAATGGAAGGGTTTTGAATTACAATTACAGTGCAGCTAAGTGAAGGAAGGGGGAGAGTATGGGGGTTATTTTATCACTATTACTCTGCAAATTCCGTAGTAGTGTTGACTTTAAAAATGATAAATTGTCTTGATTCAGTCTTTGCTGTAAACTTTTATAATATGAATGTGCTGTGATTGTAGTCTCTTAGAGATTTTTTTTTTTTGAAATTTTTCTGTAGCTACTATTGATGTGTTATTATTTTCAACTGTAGTAAATTGGTGCTATATCATATATTTGATGGAGTTATGTTGCATGCAAGTGAAATTTAGAGGCTAAATTATGATGCTTGAATGCAATCATTTGGGCTCAAGTTTTGTGTGTGGATCAGTTATTTTGTATTTTAGCATGTATTATAGAGTTCTGAGGCAGATTTTTTTAAAAAGCCAAAAACCTAAGGTTTGCTAATTGAGCTATACCCAATGCATCATGATTGATGGGTTACGTTTAAAAATGGCGGTTGTACTTACATATGCTTCATAATATATGAATATGTTCATCTGGCCCCGCACGTTGAAGATTGAATTTTGGTACTAGCATATTATTTGATCTTAGTATAGTGAGCCCTTTAACGTGTAATGTTGGCGTTTTGCGTTCAAATTAAATGCAGGTACAAGAAGATTAATGGAGTATTTTGGTTGTTTATTTGCTGTTTTACAAGTTTGAGGAGCATTATGTATAGACAATGAATACATTCAATTTACAGGAAGCATTATGACTTTGAATAATTATTCTATCATTTAAATTGTTTGCTAACATGAATTTTTAGGAAATATTTGTAAATTGTCATGAAACATGCATCTAAAAGAACTTGCACGTATATGTATGATCATCTATTTGTAACTTTATTTAGTAAGCGTATCAAGTGAGGATCGTAATAAAAAATTCATTGGGTATCACTTTGGAAGTTTAACAAGTCCTTCAATGTTACGTTTTTTCCTTTTGTAAATACTGAATACTTTTCCAAAAAGTATAATTGTGCAATTTATAGGAAACTTAAAATGACTGGAGTAGATACACAAAACAAAGTACCACATAAATATTATCCCCCTTGCGTAATAAACAGAAAAAAGATGCATATTATTAGTGAATATATATTAGGATATACCACAGCGTCATGGAATCTCATGATATCAAATTAGGTACATATGGACTTGAAGTAGCAATATGATGTTGAATGCAAATTCTCTCCCACCAGTATTAGAGGTTAGTGAAAAAAGAGGAAGAGAGAATAGCGGGACGTACATAATCAGATAGATCACGTTACTCATTGTTTCCGTAGAGAAGAGATCCAAACTAATAAGTACGGTTGCACTCAGTACATCCACCAACCTAGCTATATTTAGTCAGGCATATTTATAGATGTCTAAAAAAGACCGTAAGATAGCTTCGTGTGAACATTGTACTACTTGTCCAAAAGAGCCAAGAGTCTTCTGAAAGAAGAAGCATCACAAGGCAGAACAATCCCGTTGGGATTATTAAAGCCATACTCATCAGCAGCTCTGTCTAGCAATCTCTGGAACATAGGATTCTTCAGGTATGTCATAGGAACCGCAAATCTTTCCATTCCAATCCCCACGTACACCACAAAGTGACCTTTTGGAGTCCCTTTAACCTCTTCTTTCTTTGCCATCATCTGCTGATCAGAAGACACACACACACACACACACGGATAGCTAGAATGCACCAGGATGTGTGAATGATGAGCTATTGCCCAATGAGAGTTTTTGCTGCATTATATCAGTTTGAAAAGGATATATAGGGCTTGAAAAGTGTGCCATATTATGAGTTTTTTACTTTATATCTGCAAATTCAAGATAAGGTATGTAGGTGGCAGTAGATAAAACTTCTTAACAGAAGACTTTCAACCATAAAGTGCATCAGTTTAACATACATACATTTGATATATATTTACCAGAATGTTGCTTAATTAGGGGTGAAAAGACTTTTAATTCTCTCTAGTTTTGTAAGAGTTTCAGTTTTTTCCCTGTAGTTTTAATTGAATCAATCTTGTTCTTGTCATTCAACAGCACAATTAATTAATTAAGCCCTTTAGTCTTGACTTAGTTAATTTTCATCATAAAAAAAATCATGAAGCAAACCAAACCAACATCAATTGACTGAAATGTTATCCCTTTCCAATTCAGCTAACCTATCAGTTAATCAAAATTAAAACTTTTACAGTTCGCCCTGGGGAGACAAATATAGTTGCCAAAAGAAGTTAGACTTAATTATATTCAACACCATAAACTGCAATATATACAGGAAGTATCAGTATTGTAGAAGCATGCAATGCATGCATGGAGAGAGATAAAAGGGACAGAGAGAAAGAGGTGGGGGAGAGCCTAGAGACTAGAGTAGTGGGAAGCTCACGGGGTAATGAGTCATTTAGTGTAGGACATTAATAACGAAGGTTGTCTCTAGATAGATATATGCTATATCACAGCGAAACTGGGTCTTATGA